TGCTCCTTGGGCACACGGATACACAGTGCTGCTCCTTGGGCACAGGGACACCTGGTGCTGCTCCGCTCTGCTGCCAGCGTGGCTGTTTCTGCAGTGTGTCCCCACGCGTTTGCCAGCCCTGCCCCTGTGCCCACTGGCTCTGCAGCCATGGAGAGGGAGCTGCAGGGCACAGCCGTGTGTCCTGTGCAGGGCACAGGGGACACAGCTCCTGGGACCCGCTGCTCCAGCTGGGAAGGGCCTGGCACGGCCAGGGCACGCCGCTGCCCCAGAGCTCCTGCCGAGGCACTGGCACGAGCAGCTCTCACCCCTGCTGGCACAAAGCTGCTGGAACTTGGTGCCAGCAGCCCTGGGGTGCTCCTGCCTCCCGGGGACCGTGACAGCCTCGCTGGGCACACCAGCGGAGTGGCACGGAGCTGAGGTGGGTGGGCAGGCCTGGGCAGCTGTGTGTGCCCTCCAGAAGGTGCAGTAGGGCCCTTCGTGTGCCATGGCAAGTGTGCCTGAAGCCATGGTGGGCACCCAGCATGGTGAGGGGCACGCTGCTTCCTTGGGAATGGCTTCAGATCAGGAATAATGGCTGCAGCCACTGCCAGGATCACTACTCTTTCCATCAACCAAAGGCAGGCAGAGCCTCAGCCACGCTGGAGCTCGGGGGTACTGGAGACTGAGCAGTGCCACTGGCAGCGTGGCCACACCTGCCAGCACTGTGATCCCTCAGGAGCATTCACCTCCCTGCTCCCTGGTGCTGCTGCCCGCTCAGGGTGCACCATGGCTGCCCAAAAGCTGCCCTAGCAGCAGCCACCTAACTGCACTGTGCCTTCTCCTGGCAGCCATGTTAATGTTGGTCAGAGTTCTGGTTTAAAAGCAGCAAACTGTGGCCAGGCCATAGGTCCTGCTTACCAATAACGTGGTTGTCCCATTTCTCCTTTGCAAACGTGTCCCTGTGTGCCTGGCTGTGTGTTGAGTGCTGGGCCTGGGGCAGAGCAGAACCTGTGCTGCCCGATCACACCGTGCTGGATTGCCACCCAGCATGGTGTCACCCAGCATGGTGTCACCCAGCATGGCCCCTCAGCACAGCTGGGGCTCCCCACAGGCCCAGCACCAAGTCCTTGGCCACTGTTCTGTGGAATTGTCCCTGGGGACATCAGGCACAGCAGAGGGGTCTGGCTGGTGCCAGCTCCCCT